ACTGTGGAAGGCCTGAGAGAAGGCGCCAGGCTGCCCCTTAGCTTTAGATGTGTCTGGTAACAATCAGCCACCGTGAGAGGGAGAATACACACTCAAACACACACATGTGCAACACACATTCCTACATTATTAAGTGTGTCAGACAGCCGGGATTTACTGCCTTACAGTGACCAGACATTTGCCCTTGCATAAGAAACATCACATACATGTGTGTAATTACCACCAGGTAATAATACTACTAAAAGGAAAAGTTCTAATACAAGTAAAAACTGTGTATAGATGGAAATAGCAGCGCTAATGGTCCATTTCAGTCCAAACACTCCTGGAAGCAGTGTTTCCATCAGAGAATTCCCGTTCTGCAGAATTCTTAGGGGTGTCTTTCATACTGCGTCATAGCATTCAATTGCAATCATTCAAGTTTGGTCAAACTTTGATGTTTGCTCAGGTTGCAAATTTGTTTGCCTTTTGAGATGTGAAAAAGCTAACCAAATAAAACCTTGTACAGCTCAACACCTGACACCATCATCAAATGGGATCAGGACTGTCAGAGAGAGACACGCAGCTGACATGTCTTACTGCGACTTTTTGACTGACCATCGTCCACACGAGCACAAAAATTATGAACACAAACGTGTAAGGCACTCACAAAGTGTTAACATCATCGGGTGGAAGTGACTCAGGTCCATCCGTTGATGTGACTCAGAAGATGACACTCCGGGCTATGTGGCCGAAGCGGCCCAAATGGTTACAACATTCTGAATCTAACTTGGTGTTATTCCTTACACGACCCCAGATCATGTGGGAAATGTTTCTGGTCTCTTCCAGGCACAGATTTAAGTTCTGCAGATGATAGAAACCTTAAGAAACATGGAAAAAGCTAAATGTATTCTTCTCAAGAATCAGTGATTACATATATATACATATATACACATAAATATATATCTATAAATATATTATGTAATTTAGGCATGGCCAACTCGTGGGGGGCCACATGCTGGTTGGCCACCCCTGGTGTAGTCTACAGTGGAATTTACTATTTATTGTATTACAAGTCAGCAGAACTCCCATGACAGCAATAAAATACAACTGACAAACACACACACACACACACACACACACACTGGACCAACTGGTCATGCCATTATTTATGTCTCCGTCTTCTGTTGGATTCAGTGAAAGGCTCGTTAGGGCAGTATTGTACTCACTGAAAAAAGGCAAAGGGCTATTTGTTTTGTCTGTGTGTGTGTGTGTGTGTGTGTGTGTGTGTTTGTGTGTAGGAGTTGAAAGGCTTCATCGTCTTTAACTGCCCCCCCTTTACCTCCCTGGTCCTTCCCATCAACATGCTGGTTGTTTAGTCAGGGGAGCTTCAGGACCAAGGCTTTGTTAGTGGACAGATGGGTTTTGATGATACACAGTGAAATTCCAACATGACATCATGAAACCAAAACTACCTTTGCAGCCAAGGCCCCATCAAGCAGACCCACTGAATGGAAGCCATGCTGGATTTGGATGGTGTTTTTGTGTAACGTAGCTGTACTCTGTCCTCTGGGTTCAAATAGCTTTTTTTGTCCTTCACTCGCTCACACACACACACCACAACCTCATCCCATTCTGTCACAGCCTGGAGGTAAGCGCTGTTCAAACACATCACGTCATGAGCAAACACCACACCCTGGCCAGCCACCCTTCCATTCCTGTACACACGGTTGGATAAGAAAGAGGTGGAGTCGCTCAAGCCGTGGATGAGGACCTGAAGACCAATCACGTTTTGACTGGTATTGGCAGAGACAAGAGCGAGCTGAGGGCTAACGAAAAAAAAAGACAACGGAGTGATGTTCCTGTGAGGTGTGGCTTCTGTACAGTCTCACAGGGATTGGTGTTCCTCTGATGTCTCTGAAGCCTGCCTTTAGTCTTTGTGCCTCAATAGACTCACTGTCACCGCCCTTGTATAAATACATGTAAATGTATTCATACAAGACTTCCTCTAAAACTATTGTTTTATTTTGATTATTTACATTTTATTTGCAAAACTAAAAATGTAATCAACTACTAAATGACATAGTCATATACATTACTAGGTCAGTGAGGGTTGTGTAGCAAACCCTGTTGAAGCTAAGCTTCTGTGTGCCAGCACCTGAATATCTGCTGTCCAATAATGAGCATTTTAACAAGTGTAGCTATTTTAAATAAAAGGCTAACGCTCTTATATGTCGTAGCCTCTTATGAAACCGCCAACAGAAGCAGGTTAGCTTTAGCTTACGGCTTTAATGCTCACTTTATAATCCTCTTTTTGTCCAGTTGTTGAAATGACTGGTGCACAAAATATTTTGGTGATGTTTATAAAATCGTGAATGTCATGATAACATCGATGGCCCATCTTGAACATCATTTTAAATGCTGCTCTCAGCTGAATAATTCACCACAAAAGGAAGCACACAGCACAGCTGTTGTCTGGATGACGAATCGATGGAAGCCTTTTGTGGTCAAAGTGGTGTTTGTTAAACACAAAATCAATAGCAAGACTCCAGGACTTGCTAAAACTGTGGTGCACTGTTCAGGTTTTGGGTGGATTTCCCCTTGATGACGCTGCCCGGGACGCACTCAAGGAAACAAGAAGAAAATAAAGCATTGAGCAGTTTGTATTTTGTCATGTCTGTATTTTTTGTCTCATTTTCACAAAACATGTACAGGGGAAGGAAAAGCTTTTCAATAGAACCTGAGGTATTTTTGCATCAAGCAGCCTAAGGTATCAGGATATTCTCAAAAACTCATCTAAATTCATCACTGTTCTTAGATGCATTGCTATTTACACAATAATAATAATAATAATAATAATAATAATAATAATAATAACAGCAACTTTAGCAAAAGGGACAGCCTGCATCATCTTTGTTACACGTCATAAATAATTCCAACAACATTTTTAAATATGAGGGAGGAGGACGAAGAAAAGTTGCTTTGTAGGAATACAGAAATACACAGAAATATATCTGAGCTGGCTGTAGCTGCAGCAGCACAAGGTCAAATGGTTAAAAATAAAACACCTAATCAAGGTCAACGGGGGGGAAAAAACAAATAATAAATAAATAACTAATCTCTCGCACCAGGAGGGCAAAGTTCAAATCTTTTCTTTTCTATTCATTATGCTATTCTTTATGACCAAAGCTTTGGAAAACAAAAATGAAATGAAAGTAAAAAAAAGTAAGAGCTATAGAAAGCAAGGGAGCTTTTATTACATGTATTGTGCTGATGTACCAGCAGCTATGTACCCTGTGTCGGGTTTGGCTCACTTAAAGATCCCCTGAGAATAAAAAAAAGGGAGTACGTTTGGGCCTATTCTTTACCGCTGTAATATAAGTGCGTACTGTTCGTGGGTATGTGTAAGTGTTGGTTCCAGCTTTGGTGGGGCGCACTGTGATGACCAGGATAAACTGCTGCTCACTGGGGAGGACGTTGGACACCAGTCCCTAATAAAAAAGTTTCCTTGTGTGTGAGTGATCACAACTTGTAGCTACTCTGTCTTTTTGTGCACAGAAAAAAAAGTGTCTCAGTTGCGATGACCCCATGAGGACAGAGATACAGAGACCCTGCTCTTTCACTGGTGGGACATCTGTGCCCCCCCCTCCCCCCCGGCCTACCTAAACAATATGGTTTTGCCCAGGTGTGAATGAAAATCAAAACATTTCAGAGAAAAAACCAGAAGAAAATCATACATCATCCTCATCAGAAAGAACAGCTCATATTGCTCGCTTTAGTTTGCTGAATGTGTGTATTTGTTTGAGTGTGTGTTCATAAATACCATACAGCACGTAATAATAATAAAAACAATAATAATATTAAAAAAGAAGAAAAAGAAACACAAAACAGTATATTATTTCTCATTACCAGAATGAACCGATAGAATAAATTAAAAAATAATAACGGAAAGTCCACTAGGAGTCCATTAAAATTCCTATATTCATATATATTTATAATGTATGTATAGCATTTGTCTGTCTGCAGTCAGCCGTTCTGGTGCATGCTCAGTGGTGGCTGAAAGTGGTGACTGGGAGCAGTGGGGGAGGTTGGGTGAGTGGAGAAAAAAAGTAAACTTTCATCACCATCACCTGAAGATTCCATCCTATCAAACTGCTAACACTGGAGACGAGGACACTGTGCTTTATAGGATGTTGTCTGTCACTGAAAGTCTTTAACCCAGAGTCAGAAAAATAAGCTGAGACTCCTTCATTTTCTTTTCTTTCTTTTTTTTTTTTGGGAAGCGGTGCCACATTGTGATTAAGTCTGTGGGATCTCTTTGCCTTGTGCTGTGAGCGACATGAGGAGACAGTCTGTTCTCAGTCTTCGCTTTGTTATCTGCAGAGTCTTCAAGAAGTCTGGGTAGAGGGGACGAGTGCGTGCAAGGTTAAGAGGATTTCTGACACCGAGGTGAAGCTTGGGGAGGAAACATGGGGCTTGCTTGAAATCACAAGCACAATACAGCCACTGAAGCACAGCTGACCACATTCAGGAAGTTCTTGTCCCGACGCTGTCAAAATAGATTCTAAATTATCAGGATGCACTGTGTCATTTTCTCATTTTATTTTACTCAAGAATTGTTTTCAGTACTTCGGTACCTAAAGTAACCCCACCCACCCCCTGTCTATTTTACTCCCTCTTATTAGGTCCATTCTCGCCCTCTAGGGAACAGCTCTGATGAAGTCCTTATCTGTCAGGATACCTCGATGATCTCCATGCTTCCAGAGAAACTCGACTGTTTCCCGATCTTTCCCAGTTCCTCTCTGGACCTTGTTTCGGAGATTCCATCCTCAAACTCCATCTGACAGCTGCGTCGATTGAACTGCTTCTCTGACACAGTCCCACTGTTGTTGGAACCGTTGGACGTGGACGACAAGGACGACAAGGACGACGAAGAGTCTCTCTGTGTTTGAGATTTGTCTCGTAACCGCACACCTTCACTGCACCCAAACGCCACATACGCCGAGCTGCTCCCAAACCTCACCGTGGACTCCCCTCCAGTTCCTCCGCCAAGGCCGCTTCCCAGTTCCATTTGTTTGTCACTGCCCTCCCCTGCCCCGAAGTGCCAGGGGGCATCTGTGGTAGGTGTAACAGGTGTCGTGGCCTGGACAGTGTCTCTGTGTTTGGTCCACATGACCCCAGACCCTAGAGTGGGCAGAGAGGGTAGAGAAAGGAGCAGGGAGCCCTTTAGGTTCTCCTCCAGGGTGGGACTCTTGTGGTCAAGCGACAAACTGAGGGACTGTGGAGGTTGGTGTGGTTGTGAGTGGACTGGAGAACTGCTCGAACTGTGCTTTGGTTTTCTCCTGGGTCTGGATGACGAACGATAGAATTCACTTCCTCCCAGCCCTAACCCACCGATGCTACCTCCACTACCAGGTGAGGGGAACGGTGAATCTAAGGAGTTTGGGCTGTCAAGGAGGGGAGATGGAGAGCAGACTCCGTTGGAGGTTCCTGTGCCTGGGCTGTCGAGCTTGCAAAGCTTGGGGACGTCTTCGGAGTGCGTGGGTGCCAAGATAGGGCAGTGGGGTCTGCTAGGGGAGTAGACAGACTTAATGTCTAGGGAAAAGGAGCGTTTGAGGCGGTTGGTGTCCATGATTCTCTCTGCAGAGAGGTGAAGGCCGTTAAAGCCCTGCTGGAGAGAGGTGGGCGATGGTAGCTTTGGTTCTGTTGGGTGGTGCAACTCTGCCACAGTTGAGTTGTAGTTGCTGTGATGACTGTTTGTCTCAAAACCTGTGCCAACACCATTGACCTCTGAGCAAGGCTTCGTGTTGTTTTCAGAGATTTTCTCATCAGATGTCGACGCTAAGGCCTGAAGTAGTCGCAGGCCCTTCTCAAACTCCAGCAGCTGACCGAGGAAGTTGAAGTTGGGGGATATGGACGGTCTTCTATCTTTTACAAACCTGGCAAGGAAAAAATTAGGAAATTATTAATTACAGAGTAAATATTGAAAACTGCCAAGTAAAATGATAATTTAAAATATCTGAAGCACAAAAAGTAACGCTGTGTTAGAGGCGTTGAGAAAGGTCAACATAAAGTTTTGTGAATGAGAAAAAAATGCAACCTTAACTCAGCTGGTGGTGCATGGGAGGAGAGAACATACCTGTAGGCATCATCAGATGACAAGCCCATTGTCTTCATGATGTATGCTATGGCAATTGTTGCTGAACGCGAGATTCCAGCCAGGCAATGCACAATGACTCTGCAGTTTGACACCTTGGCTTTGTCTGTGCAGGGACGCAAAAGGACAAGAAATAAAAGGTGAGTACACGCAACAATACACTGCAGATCCCTGACATGTCTCATCTTCACAACACAGTCTCAAGAGGCAACAAGTGTCTATTGAAGACAACAGACATTTCCTGTAAAAGCATAGAGGGGGGGTCATGGCAACGGATGTGTTATACGTGACGCTATTGTTGCTTAAGCTGCACGTGAGCAGTTTTCAACAGTGACAATAAACAGATTTGTTGGATTGTATATCATGGCATTCTTTAACACATAACCTGAGCTGGATTTATGTCCTGGTGAAGACTCTTAGCTCAGCGTCTATTATGCTCTGCCCTCATAATCTTTCTCATTACATTATCTTCTCTTACCTATGAATTCATTTGTTTTGTCGAGCCATGGAAGCAGCTTCTCACAGTAGTTGTCATTGACTGGGATGCGCATGAAGTGACTCTCACTGATGAAGTCTGGCTTGGGGCAAGTGTTGCTAGCATTGAGCACGTAGGTGATACCATTTTGAGCCATCAGGTCCTGCAACAGAGGAGACGAGACGATACATGTTTATGACTCGTTGCTAGGCGATAAGAGCAAGGAAGGGTATCTTCACCTAAGTTCATCCACATATGAAGAGTGTCTCACCTTGTTGAGGACGTCCTTCTGTGAACCCAGGTACAGGTGTGGCAGGATGCGAGTGGGCCCCACATTAGCCACAGGCAAGCAGGGTTGTGACAAGCTCATAGGCAGAGCAGTGGCAGGTTTCCCTTCACACAGGCCAGGGAAACAAGAGGAGAAAGCAGCAAAACCCCCTGCAGAGAGAGAGAGAGAGAGAGGGAGAGAAAGTTGTTAAGGTACACTGATGCACTGAACGCTCTCATGAGCTCCTCACCAGACCTGGAAAAACACCATTAGCAGAGCAAACAGATGCTGTGCAGACCTTCAGAGGTGAATCTGGGCTACCATGTCTGGCTTTGACTTAGTCAAACAGTGGGGAGAGAGAGCCTCTCTGATCTTCTGGGTTAGTGTGAGCTTCAATGTGCAGCAGCTAGGAATGTGCGTGGGGCTCTTTAAGAGGCAGGCGGCTCCACTTTCAGTGTGTTTGTCCGTGTGTGTGTGTGTGTGTGCAGAGCTCTGTTTCCTGCATGAGCTCATGTCCTGTGGCAGTGCAGTGCGTCAGGCCCAGGGAATGAGTGTGGCCGCAGGTGCAGAGCCAGAACAGAGGCCCTGCAACGTCCTGCTGACAACACACACACACACACACACACACACCACTCACTTCTGGAAGACACTATCTGATGACATGATCACACCCTGGCAGTTAACATATGCTCCCTATTCACTCTCACTGTCTGCCATTCTTTGTTCAGCCAATGCAAACATACAGTACACATGGCTGCACACACTCATTACCTCTGCAGTACTGGGGTTGTACAACTACAGGGTGGGGGCCTGTCAGTGGAGGTGTGCGATGAATGTGTGATGACCTCGCTGAGGAGTGTACAGCAGGGAGGGAAGTGTCTAAAGGACACCCTGTGCTCCACAGTCACAGAGTGAAAGTGTGTTACATGACATTAAGGCAGACAGTCACAAGCACAGACAGAACACTGTGGACAAAAATCAAATGTCCAACATTTGGCTTCAGCAGCAGCTTTTAAAAAACTGGTGTGTCCTCATCATCAAGAGCTATTCTCAGTGCACTGTTCCTTTAAGAGCAGTGTGAATAAGGCCTGTCTGTTTCCAGCTATTAATGGCAACCAGCTAACCAATGACATCATCTATCCACATGGGGGGTGGAGGATGGGGGTGGAAGTAAAGATAGACGTGCAGATTTAGCATGAGCTTTGTGTTAGTTGACTCTACATGAGGTTAGAGGCTGACTTAGGGACGGCTTCTGTGAGGGACTAACTCCTGAGGGCCTCTACGGAGAAGACTTATCAGACATGTTGGCTAAAGTAACAGAGAATGTTCACCGCAGCCTCTTTCTAGGGATCCTCTGTGTAGTGTTACCGCCTCACTAATTGATAAAACAGACAATGGAAAGTTAGTCCTTTGAAGCAGTTCCTCTTTGTTACTCTGTTCTCAAGCTACCGGCGTGAGGCCAGTGTATAAACGCTCAGAGCTGAATGGAGGAAAAAAACAAAAAAACAACAGTGCTACATATAGCCTCCATCACAAACTGTATCTATGTGAGGAAGCTGCTCAATCAACAGGAAAGGCCCTGCGTCACACGTCAACCATTTCCCTTTTATTGCAAGTACATTGTTAGAGAGTTGTTAGAAAGACTGAAGTCAGGATGCTCTGCAGCAGAGACGCCTTTTGTGTGAGTGCGTTGTAGCACTGAGGAGAAAGTGTTTTGAGCATGTGTGTGTGTGTGCACAAGAGGGGAAGCGAACACATGAAAGAAAATACCTTCTTGAGATACAGGCACCCCTGGGAATGAGATTTAAAGTATGATTACTGACATGGAAATGACAGCAGGAAGGCTGCTGGGCAAGTGGGTGAGTAAAGGGTTACTGGCATGAAGGGAGTCAGGAGGAAGTGATAAGAGAATGATTACACAGTGACATTACGTCAACAACATTACAACACGCTTTGACTGGTCACAGCCCTTCATGGCCAGTGCTTAGGAGACAGTGTTATGTCTCCTTGTCACCTGAACCTTAAGCGGTCAGGATGACGAGGAGAGGCAGTGAAGTTGATGACAGCTGGCATATCATGTCTCGAGTCATCAAGGTGGGAAAAGGACACTTTTTTTTCTAAAGTGTGAAAAATTAGTGTGCAGTAGGGGTCAGCAACCTGAGAGCTACTTCAAGGGTACTTAGTTATATGAAGAGCTACTCGTTTGATACAGACTTCCTGAGCAACGTAATAACAATCAAAAAGAAAACTAATGCTGCTCTGTCAAGTTCTGGAACATACAATAACACCTATTTGAATATCACTGCAAGTGTAAGTGATTCAAACAGAACAGTAACAGTACAATCTTTGAACCTCTTACAGCTACTAGTTTTTTAGGTAGGTAGTCCACATTGGGAAACCCTGCAGCAGTATAAGTTTATTTCAGTGTGGAGTTTGTTACTCATTTAACTTAGAATTTCGAGAGAGTGTCTAAAAGATAATGGGAACGTCTCTCCTTCATCCTTCAAGGTAAATAAAAAAGTTAAAGGAACTGAACAGATAAAATCCTAAATTTGTGACATCCTGTATCGGAAAGAACTACATTTGAAAACCTTAAAAAGTCAGAGACATTTTAAGTGCATAATAATTAGTTAACAACACTCATCAATGACTTTATCAGTGAATGAATCATCCTTTCATTGAATAACCACCCAGCCCTGACACGTGCACACGGCACACGTGCACATAGATGCCCCTCCCCCAACAAACAATGACACATTCATCCATTCTGATCTTGACACACATATAAAGTTCATAGATAAACCAACAGAGCATACATTCAAACTGAGGTCACCGAAATTACCCTGCAACACACACCAGCCCAGCTGTCCACGACCATTACATCAATGTGTCAACAGGGAAGGATGAGTTCATGTTGACCACGGCCTGATAATCAGCGGTGAGTAATAGACACGAGGCAGCTTTAAAATAATTGGACGGACATCCATAGAAAATGCAGTTAAACTTCAGTAGGAAACATAAAATGACATTTAGCTGAATTTAAAACTTTAAAAACTCTACGGGGACAGAGTGTCCTTCCTGACATAAAAACCCTCCCAAAATGATGTTGATGTTATGCCCCATTAAAATAAAAAAAAAAGACATGAAATTTCTGCGTGACTAAATTTCCTTTTTGCACTCTGCTACATCATGTGTCTTAACGACTGGAAAATGTAGTTGCACAGGATATGACTAGTCCCATTCTGAACACGTCGCTTTGAAAAAAGGCCCTGTATGGGCTGGAAGAAAACACACAACCAGTAAAGAGGGCACTGTGTCACCAGAAGCAGTGCTAGCCAGCGGTGACTTCCTTTTTCCGTTTTTCTCTGCCCACTGCCTCCATTATGCAATGACTTCTTTTCCTCTTTCGCCCTATCACAGCCTAGCACTTAGGTCGTCTTTGTCTGCTGGCAGCCAACATCTGGGTTACCCTCCTAATCAGTCACTATGAACTATTTATCCTTTTTAGAAGCACAGGTGGTGAATTATCTGACAATAATGTGTTTCTGATACAATGTTTTTCTGGAATGGGGAGGGGGTGAGGGTGGGGGAGGGCTGCTCTGTGATTGGATTGATGGGGAAAACTGAGATGAATGGAAGTGAAATAGCTGAGATACAAACACACACACACACACCTGCCTGTTGTTAATGGAGGTGGTGCAGTTACATCACTGCTGCTGCTGGTACTATTGAATGCCTCATCAATACACACTCACCCGCTCTCTCCCTCCTTCTCCTCTGCTGGCCTGTGTCTCAGTGTGTGTGTGCTTTCTGCTGTCCTCTTTAACTCGCCTGTTAATAGCAGGCCACACACACACACACAAACACACACACTTTTGCATCCATGCTATTCTTGTTAGAACACTTCATTGACTTCTATTCATCTGTACAGTCTAGCCAGCAGAACCTCATCACTAAAGCCACCCATAACCACTCAAACCCTTTTCTACATGTGACTCCTTCATTCTACCTTAAACACAGGCCAAAGAATTGGAGGTTGTGCCTCATTAAACCTGGGGTTTTGTTCTCATTAAGACTGCCTGTCTCAAAATATCATTACCACGGCCAGAATTGGTCCTCAGGGGGTAATAAAAAAAAAGACACACACACATATACAATCCACCCCACCCCTGGGGGCACTGACAGACATGACGCCATCCTGTGTGCCCCTCCAGCTGCCCCCTCTACTATGAAGAACATTAGCATTTCAATGTGAACACCCCCCTCTCCAACTCCCAACATGACATCATTGCACACATGTCCGACTCAGCCCCACAAAGGCTGTGCTGCAGCCTGCAGAAACAACGGGAGTGCATCTGTTTTTAGGCAGACGCACTGTGGGCTGCATCTGTCAGAAATGTGCTGATTGACAGGTTAACCAGTGGGATGAGGTCATTGCTGTGCACACAGCCAGATGACGGGCGGGAACAAATGGGTGATGAATATGTCATCCTGGCCAATGGTTAAACCATGTGTTGTATCTCCAGCTAACAAAGGCAGATAGCGGGAGCGTGTCACTTTGATCGGCTGCTGTTCCTGCAGAGATCCTACTTCAGTGCAGCAAAATAAAACAGGTCTATTTCGAAATAAGGTGTGACAGACACGTTTCTATTTTGAGCTGATATCTCTGCAACTCTCTGTAGAGTGCACACACACACACACACACACACACTCACCTAACTGTGTAAAGAGATGCAGGTGTTAAGAGCTGTTTAACGGCTGTAAACCTCCTCTGATATGGCCTGTGTGTGTTGACTGCACATCCACTCCACTCCACACTCACATTCTGTATTCAAGTGTATTCCTCTGGGGGTGTAACAAGGAAATAAGAAAATAATGAATGAATAAAAGAATGCTCACATTCTTTTGCCATACATGTTCAAGTACATTGGGCTAATGAGCAACTGCTGCTGCTTTGACCCAATCCCTGTGTGAAGTGTTGTTGTCCTAACCTGCAGTTCACACTGACAACATATGAATAACATTAGCTTCTCAAGACACTATTACACAGTGAAGGAGTGAGCGCAAGACACGGCCAAAAGCCGAGGACAAGAAAGAGCTTTGTGATAGTTTTACTTCTCAGTGACCCCACGCTGCAAGAGCGCAAGCGCTACGTCATAACGTGGCTCTTATGTCTTTCCCTCAAACCTTTTTTTGTTCTTTCCACATTTCCTTTTCATCTCTCCCCGTCTTCATGATGTCACCCTCCTCAATCCCTTTTCTTCCTACTCTGTCTCTGTTAACACATTAACTGCACACATAATGAAAGGGAAAAACAATTAGAGGGCTTGGCTGGGTCTCTGTGATGTGTTCCTTTAGCCTTTGTGACTGTAAATCTTTTTGTTGATGAAGTCCACAAGAACTGACTCCATGTTTATTTAACATTATTTATCATCAGCATCACAGTTTCCAAGGGGCTCTCTGCGTTTGCATGCGTCATCTGTGCATGTCAACAGTTAAATATTCTGGAAGAATACTTGCAATATGACTAATAAAACATTTATCACACATGCCAAGGCTGTAACCCTAGTTCATAAGGACCGAGGTCCACAGCATCATGTCATTTCCCAAAAAGGAAACCCTTCAAAATATATAAACACAGTGAACACACAAGCAAGATAATCTCTTCATCTTTTGCCCAGGTGAATACACACCTCGTAGCTCTCTTCCCTCTTTCATCCGGCGGACCCTGATCTTCAGCCTCATGTCTGTGTCTTGCAGGTCCGGCCAAAAACAGTCCTCCACTGGGGCTATGACCACATCCAGAGGCATCCCCCAGAACACACTCTGGTCTCTTTCTTACACACTCACAATTTGAAAATGTTTTGGGGCTCCCCTTTGTAGGGATGAAGCAATCGATGACCTCTGCCTTGTCTGCGCACAAATTTCAAAGCAAAGAAGCAGAAGTTTCCTGTTGTGGGTCTGCCAGTTGAAATCCTAAGACAACAGAAGTCCCTTCCTCTTGTGTACTTGTCAGCTGCTCCAATGTCCAAGCATTGACTTTTGGGGGACTTGACCAAGTGCTAAAGAAAGACACACTCGAATCCAGTTATTCCCAAAATTCCGTGCAATTGCGACAATTCCTCAAATGCTCCACTGTGTAAACAAAGCAATTCTGCAATTTAGTGAGGAAACGCTGACACAGAGTGAGAGAAAAGAAAAAAAAAAATACAAGCAAATATCTGAGTCTGGCTGTACGTGAGCGCCAGCTGTACTCCGCCTGCAGCTGGTTCACCGTGTGTCTCTGGGTCTCTGTGACCAACTCTCTGTCTCTGTGTCCACAGTCAGAAGTACAGCCCACTATTGTCTTGCAGTCACTCATTCGCTCAGTGGCTGGTTTACACTCCTCCCTCTCTTCTCCTCCTCCTCCTCCTCCCTTCTCTGTGTGTGAAGAGGATGACAGAGCTGCACTCTCTCCTCGAGCAATGAGGGTGAATGAGCTCACTTGCTGTGAGCTCAGAGTCCGCTCCCGGCCCCTCCCTCCTCTGCTACCTCCCTTTACACCCTCCCTCTCATGCGGAGCCAGAGCTCCTTCATAGCTAATGTCTAAGGCATGTAACCACATTCCTTACTCACCCAACAAATATGCGGCCACCTCAGGGGCCTAGCAGAGAAGCGGGGCTCTATCCATAGCTATCAGGCTGGTTAACAGAGACATCGCTGCTGCGGCTGCGGCATTGATTAATCTCTGCTTAGTTAGTGGCACACAGCTAAAAAAAATAAATAAATGTTATATTTAGACTAGTGTCGCTGAATACGAGTTGTGACCTGGCTTCAGTGTTTTGCCTTGACTGGTAAAAATCAGTAATGAATGCAATCGACAGATTCATGACTTTGAATTTGGTTTTAAAAATGTATTATATTTATTTGACCAGAGATAAATTTAGACTGCAAAAGTGGGGTACTTTTTTTAGTACTCCTTCACATTATGTCCGTGTTTGGGAGCTTGTCTTCCAGTCCTCAGAGAAGAAAGGAGCACGCACGAAAAGGAAAAACCAAACTGATGAGCTAAAGAAGGAGTGCAGTTTGGAGTGCAATGACAAAAGCAGAAATGTGTGAGGTTCCGGGGGGGTTGGGTTTTTCTGAGGGTGTGTGTGTGTGTGTCGCACCTGCCAGTGATCCCAGCTCATCAGGACACCTGCTTATAACCACCTGCTTGTCTGTGTTCCAGCACCAGACCGTCTGCTTACTGATGTGGTAATCATCTGGCTCCTTGAGTACGCTCATGTTCCTCTCGCTCTTTGTAACTCTGACATTTTAGCTTGCCTCTTCACAGTTCTTGGTTCTTGTTTTTTTGTAAGTGGTGGATTCTTCTTTTGCTCTTAGGTCAGTAGCTTCACCACTGTCACCCTCTGCCTCTACCTGCTGCTTGGTTCAACCTACATTTGCAAATTCTCAATCTGTAACTAACACCTGTACTTACCTGCTACTGTTTCTGTGTCTGCTCCTGCGCCCTCCTTTTGACATTGGTCTTCTGAACCGTAACAAAATGAAGAATAGAAATGATGAGAAGACCAAACTGAGTGGTGGTTGGCAGCCATCATCCATTTGACAGACCACAGACTCCTGGTACTTTACTATGGAATGGCAAACATGTAAGCCACAAGTCCAGCTATGGAAACAAAGCAGCGCTGAACTCGATGTAACCACTGGGAGGCTGAGTGGTAACTGAACATTAACTACTTATTATGCTAGCACAGCTGCTTTAAATAGATGTTTAACTCCCAAATGTAATAAAAACCTCTAAGACATGAGATAATTTATTTTGGATGGTGGTATTTATATGCAGGTCCTTACAAAGGCCCGTGAAGAAGGAAGGGAATATATTACAGATGGACAAAATGTCATAACCCTGATTTATGATGCGACTTTATGCGCACCACTCAGAAAATGTTGGTTTGTCTTTGAGTCTAAGACTGAGACATGTCCATTCTGGGTTTGACAGACGAATGAACCAAAAGTACAAAGTTCCTGGTCACTGCTGTTACTAGAAAAGGAGAAAAAAGGGGTTCTTCAGCTGCTATTTAATGTCAGCGCACATGTTTGTTAATAGAAAACATTTCTTTCTTCAGAAGGTACCTTTCATGAGCAGGCCGCTCTAATGTCCTGTCTGGCAGCTCTGCTCAGTCTCAAGTTGAGACATCACAGCACACAGAGTACATTCAAACCAGGTCAGATGAGCTCAAGTAAATGAAGTCAGCACATGATGAGCGCTGCTCCAAAAAAAGAGGCAAATAAGCTTATACAAGATGTCTAGTGAGGGGGCCAGCTGCATGCTGGCTGACTGACTTCATCTCATCACGGCAGACCCCTGAGTGATCACACAGGGCTGAGAAAAGCCTTACGTCACCTCCCTGTTTAACTACGGGTCACTGAGAGAGGGGGCGAGGAAAGCAAATAGGTTGCTTGGGTGAAGGCGGCCTTTGCAAAACATGCAGACACTGCTATTAAGGAGGAGAGAAGAGTGTGGGTGAGCAAACGCACGTACACGCGTTTTGAGTCCAACACAGACACGGGGCTGCAACCAACATTTGTTTGCATAACCACTTAATTGGACACATTTCGTAAGCTAACCTAAACACACAGCAAGAGTTTGCATTTTGAAAATGCGTCGGGGTTAAGAAAATATAAATATATTCACACTCAAGAGGCTAAAATCAAAACACTTAGAAATTAGTTAATTAAAAAAAACAATCTAATCTAATTATTAGCCTAGTCAGTTACTAAATGCTTCAGTTAATAATGTTGCTAAAAAGGGGGAAACTCCTGGAGTTGTTCATTTGGTATTTGTCTTCAGAAAGAACTCGTCATTAGTGCTGTGTTTTTCTTCACACAGTAGTAATGACATCATAATGACATCACCATCTTTTCATTAGGTAAAGTGCATAACTGCATAACTCCAATTTACCCATTTCCTCTATGATACCTATTCTGAATTTTATCACATTCTAACATGATTTGTGCTTTACTCATAGTTTCTCTAAGGATTAATTCGCTACACTTACCCTTAAAAATGTCTCCAAAAGGATGTCTCACTCTTCCATAGTATCAGCACTAGGTCAGTCCTTACGGTCAAACTGCTCCCAATTGTAAGTACACACACTCACAGAAGCCAGTTGGAGCAGGTGTGACTCTGCACTGTGGTCAGTTGGCATTAAAAGAATTCAAACACACTGATTGTCACCATGGTGTGTCCACGCCTTGTTTTGTTCGTTTGTCTGTGTGGTGTGTTACTGTAAAGCTGCTTTGAAACACGGGACTTCCTCACACCTGCCATCGCCAACAACAAAACAAAGTAGCTGCTTTCTCAACGGTTAAATGGTTAAACTCCCAAAGCAAATATCGCGGCTCAGCTCTGCTTGTACCGCTGTACTCCCACGTTGACCCTCAGTGGGGTAACAAGGCTCAGAATAGTAGGTGTGTTAATTAGAGGATTACAGCCAAGACATTATAAATGACCGCCAGCCTTTTTTATTCAGTGCATATGTGTGTCCTGCTGGGACAGAAATAGAGAAACACACACACACACCAACAGCCTTAGAAACCTCTGTAGAGATTCAATGGCATGCTTCTATGCTGGACTTCTTGTTACTGGGACAACACACATACACAGACAGACAGGGATGAAAACACGTAAAGATGACTATAAGCTAGTAACGAAAGATAGAGGAGAAGAGGAAAGGATAGAATTTCATGCGACTGCTTCACGAAACAAGGTGTGCTCTGAAGAGTGTCAACAGTTGTGGAGAATGTTTCCCAACCTTTTTTGAGCCATGCCAAGTATTTTACACCACTAAGCCACCAGCCAACGACGCACCACCAAACAAAAATGTAACAAAGGTCAATTTACTCAAATTTTACTTACTCACTGTGAAACCTGAGCCTGTTTAGTTGAACACAATGCTGAAATGTTCACAGGAATTGAAGAAAGCCACACAATGAGATCTGCTTTGTTATCTCCGAGCGTCTTTGTCTCTTTGTTATCTCTGAGTCTTTAGTTTTTATGGCCATCTGCTGTCATCTAGTGCGATTTTTAATATTTAACCGTTCCGTCTGTCACTGGTGCATTGATGAACAAAGACAAATTATTTGCAAAGTAAATTAGTAAATAAACAATTTTTTTTCAGACCAATTAGGTGTGATGATCTCTCACAGCACACTTACTGTATGTGCCACAGCACACTAGTTGGAAATCACCGGTACAATAAATGTTATGGGCTTTTAAAAGTGGATAGTGATAATCTGTTTGCCCAAGAGAACGATATCATAATCGGTGTTAGAAAAGGTCCATTTATCAAAAGTCAATTGTTGGTTGAAGCAATATAAAGGAAATAGAATAAAATAACAATGTGAAAAATGTTTAAAAAATGTATAAATAAACCTCTGGGTGTTTAGAAATTCCTAATATCATTAGCATTTCCAAGTATAATTACATCAACATCATAACTGAAGTGACATGTGTTAATCAGGAGCAATCTGTCCTCCACTGTGGGACAGGCAGCGACAGGAGTGCCATCCTACACCATGGATCATCTGTCGGTATATCAGGGCAAACAGAGACGTCATTCTCCAGATAGGGCTGGTTCAGTTGATGACGACTGTGAGTTAATGTTTCTGCCTGTGTGTTGGAACCAGTCCAGTAGGAAGGTTGGTACAAAAAAAGATGTAGACAGAGAGGACGTGTATTAAAGGTGCTGGATGTGATTAAAATTAATTTACTGTGATAAATGTTTACCTTATATATAAACATATGTGTGTGTATACATATATATGCACGCACGCACACACACACACACATATATATATATACTCTATATTAGTGTGTGTGTGTGTGTGTGTTGACAGCGTTGGTTGTGGCAGGCTCAATAACAGGGCTGCTCTTGCAGTGATGTAATGTCCACAGGAGGACACAGCTGCCATGCCTGGGGAGTGATGTAGTCCCCGAGGGAGAGAGGAGAGAAGATGGATGGAGCGACGAAGGGCGGGCAGGAGTGCAGGAGATAAAGGAAGAGTGAGATTGGTTGACTTGAAGTGTTAAGTAGAAGGGTGAGTGTGCTCCATTAATTTATTTAACGAAAAATTGCACTGAAATTGTGGTTAGGTGTAAGACATTATTCAATGCAATTATGGCAGGGTAATTAAAGTAATTATGAAAACAACTTTCATTAAATACGTTTCAACGTTATGCAAAATGATATTTGACAAAAAAAACATAACTAAGTGAAGGTATTTCCTTCAAGGCAAGAATTATGTTAATTAAAATACTTAGTTTTAAAATGAATGAGGGTAATGGATGATTACTTGAAAAAGTATTGAAAAGAACAGAAGAAAGAGGAGAAATAATTAAAGAGCTCCATCTACAGATTTAGATTTAGGTTTAGACAACTTCAGTTCTGATGTTCAACATAGACATGTGTGTATGCATGACTTTATCGCTAATGTTTGCAGCCCAGAGAAAGGCTTGGTGAAGACCTGGCCTTCACACTCACTGCAGGAGCTCAGCACTGCACCACTGAATCTGTCTCGCTGGCGAGAAAAAAGTTAACGCGTGCATCAAGACACACACACACACACACACACACACACACTGCATGGATTTGCATGACCCTAAGGGAACTCCCGAGGGATTAATAAAGTGCTATCTATATATGACCATCCAACATGTCAAGGTTGATTTTTAGGACATTTTGCATAGGTCAAAAATTCTGGTTTGACTTCATATCTCTTTGTAATGTATTATGATCCATTTAGGATCAACTCCAGATATGATACAGACTGTTAGGACAGTAGTGATTATTATGAGGGCCAAGACTAGTTAGAGTTAGGATGAAGCTGTAATCTGTGTAATGATAAAGGCTATAAGTAGATATTAGTTTGGCGTGGTGAGGGATAAGATTCCAGTTAGGTTTTACAAATGAGTGGAATTGAATGGAACGTCTTGTCTTAAACAGCTGCATGTTAATGTATGTGTATGTGTATATGTGAAAAGGTCGTTGTAGTGTCAACACTAAGTGTTAGCATTTCGCTGTATTTTTGTTAAACACATATAAGTCCTGCATATATGTATACTGTATGTATATGAATGGGATGTGTATACAATTCTACGCAGTAAAGGCATTAGATTGCAAAATGGATCCTGCACTCTAATGCACACTGCTCTCTTATTTCCCCAGTGGTAAGTGTGCTTCACAGGTGTGCCTAAACAGAACAGATGGTTATACTGATCTGTATGCTAATGGGTGAAACTGAAATGCATGGGGTTTCCCCGCAGCACATCTTTCACTGTCAGGTCCCTCCCATGTTGGAGAACCTGAAATGTAGCCATAACCAACCCGCGTTGACGGCAGACCAGTTCGTTTTTAATGAGCTAGAGCTGCTGCGACACCCGCGCTGACAGACAGCTCTCAGATCAGTGTAGTGTTAATTGGCTCCTAGCAGCGCAGCAGGCAGGCCAACAGACACTGGCCTCAGAACAACGCTGGAGGCCGAGCCATCTGGTCCTGTGGAAGACACACTCTACTGTGTGTCATCTTCTATCTGTCTCACACTTAGCTCAGACAGTCACAGACAGAGCCAAGGTGATTCTCTGTACTTGCTAATATCTGTCTGTTTTCCCAAAGTATATTAAACAGTGCATTACCAGGTAAAGGCACACAACGTAAACCCCAATCAGATGGGTTTTTTTTTTTTGCTACTTTCTTGAAGAGTCCGTATAATTCTTTAAAAATGTTTTTTGCAAAAAATTAAAACTTTGCTGTTGTCCAAGTGTTATTTATGACTTGTGGCATAAAAAGTGAACATTTTTTCATCTTCTCCCACAAGGACATTTTACTGCAGCAAAGTGTTGCATCCAGGAGACCTTTGTTTAGGCATTAAGGACAAAGTAACAGTAGCTAGAACAAGTCAGGCAGCCTGGATAAGCATTACTGCTACAACAAACCCTCGGGACTGAGTGTGTGTGTGTGTGTGTGTATCACATCCACAACCCAACAGTGACATCACTATGACAGCTACAGGAGAACAATAGAGAAAGCATTACGTGATGCTGTGACAGGAACTAAACAAGCTGTTTCTGTGTGCTGTGTGCCAACGCCTTCATTTTACTTTTAAATTACTTTAAAGCTGGATAATCTTTGTCCGAATTTCAAGTACTTTTAAAACACAGTCCCTGCAGACGGCTGTGTTAATGCACTCTAATGTTTAACTTTATCAGAAACAGGAAATGGTTACACAACAAAAATGTGAAGGCCTCTGTGTAATCCTTCATCTGTGCATGCGTAAGTCTTTGTTTTGGTATGAGAAACTTGGAGAATGTTTGTGTTGATGTGTGAGTTGATAGGAAAATATCTCAAGGAATGATCACAAACTGCAGAACTCCACAATCTAAATACAGACGACCTGGAACTCCAAAAATAGCCCGTTGTCACAGCATTGGAAACATTTTATCAGGAAGCAACGGCAGCGACCCCGAGACATAGTCCAAGAGTCTGTGTGTGGTCACCAAGCATTTACGGTAATAGGAGCAATTCTGTGTACATACCAGAGAAAAGTGTCAAACCATGGAAGATTACAAGTGCTTCAGATTGCTGTGCCTCAGGCAACAAATCAATTCACTGGACAAGCAAAAAATAGCAAATTAATACATTAGCAAATTGCATGTCAGGATAGATTTTATTATATTTTAAAACACTTGCTGCAAAAGAATACAGCCCATCCACCTGTTCGTGTTGGTAGTGTAGTTTAAACAGATTAAAACTAAGGAAAACGTAGCAGGCAAATGATGTTTCTTAGGTATGCCGGAGATAACGTGTATTAAAGACATCTTAGCGATAAACAGGAATTCACTATTGTTCCAGGGAATGACGGTACACCAGGAGTGGCAGTAGGCAGTGAGAGCAGTAATGGAATGTAATGGACACAGGCCAACTTTGTGTAGGATAAACTTGCACGATTGTTACCAATTTCATTCCCCTTCCTTCCCCCTCTGGATTTTTCCACTGCTGAAGTGTATCACAGACATAAGAATAGTTGTAAACTGATTGTGTTTTTGTCCTAAATTTACCAAGGTGTGAGGGCTGGTGGGATCCTAGCATCAAGGGGAGAGAAAAAAGCCTGGGTTGGCACGCTGGTCTGCTTCAGCTCCTGTTGACCCGATGTGTTGACACTGCCTAGGTAACAGTTGAAACAAACTATTTTTATTTCATCTGGATGAATTCTTAGCAAGGGTGGATTGGGATCTTTAAAAGGCATCTTAACAGATTTTCAAAGTCAACGGGGCAAGACGGAATGCACTGTGAAAAAAAAAACTATGGACACAAAGCAGCTTAAAGGGCTGTGGTATTTAGGGCATTGTGGTATGAAATGTTTTCCTATTTAGTTAGCATAAAAGTGCACATCAAGTATAAGGAGAAAATTACTTTTTATATGCTTGAATGCTTGCTGCAAAAAAGTCTTTGACTATACATTTTTCTCTACATTTTCAACATAAATGCAACTGTCCATTAAACAAGTTAATCTTGAGCTACTGTACTTGTACTGTAAGTCAGCAACTCTCCCATACGTGAGATTTTGGTGAAAAAAGGACAATGGGAGACGAAGACGAAGCAGGAAAAAGAGCAGTGAAATCACATCATGCTAAAAACATTTGGCAACAGCAAAAAGAAACACACGCGCACAAAACACTTCTCTATGGATTTGAGTGAAGGAAGGAAAAATGACATCAGGTCTATAATGTAAGGCCAGTAAGGTTGTTGAAGGGGGAGGAGGAGGAAGAGGAGGAGGAGGAGGAAGAGGAGGAGGAAGAGGAGGAGGAAGAGGAGGAGGAAGTGTGAATACTGGCAGAATCAGAACATTGTTACATGAAACCTAATTTGCCACTAGCGTCCTCTAGGCTCTTACATGTGTGTATGTGTCCAAGTCTGAACATATGGACATGTATTTTGGTTGGTTGCTTCGAGAACTGTGTGCAGCAAGAGAAGTTCATCACATTGACATGACTGTTGCAAAAGGCCAACTATTCTAATATAGGGCAGCACTAAAGCTTTGCAAAGTCTGCGGCACTTTACGGTGTAGAGAGATGATGTCATTTTTGTTGACCTTTGTGCTCCTTCAGTGCTAAATGGGGTGGGGCTGATGTGTGTGTGTGTGTGTGTATGCCTGCTTGTGTTTATGTATCTACAAACCCGGGTGAGAGCATCAAGGCCACTGGCGCCAGATGTGATGACCGCAGAAGTCTACAACTAAAAATAGTCTTCTGTTCTCAGCCCCGTGAAAGTTTAGAGGAATGTTTGTGTATGTGCGTGTGTGTGTGTGTGTGTGTGTGTGTGTGTGTGTGTGTGTGTGTGTGTGGGTGGGTGTGGGTAATGGGGGCTGAAGGGGCACTGAGAGCAGGGATGGACAGGAAGGCGAGGTCGTTGAAAACACTGTGTCAGTCTCCCCTGGGAAGGTGAGCTCACCTCCTAATGGCCGCTAGCTCCTTCTCAATGAAATCATTTTTTTGCTGCTCCCCCCCCCCCCCCCCCCCCAAAGATGAGAGGTCAGACGGATGGCTGAGGGGAGGAGGGGAATGGGGTCAAAGAGGTACAGAAAGGGTATGTTAGAAGGTTGAAAGTTTCGGGAGGAGAACGTTGACATGTAATGTGGCTACAGCAGTACACCTGGAGGCAGAGGATCTGTAAATAGATGTCACTGATACATTAC